AAGGAAAACAGCTGTCCCGATTCTGACAGATTTCTACATACAGAAGATTGCAAATGAGAGTGCCAAGCAGTTGACAGAGCTTTCATTAAAGGACAAACTATTGGTTTAACCGGCAATCTCCGCATTTGTCAGCTTGAATCACAGCACAAGCAGTTTCTGTATTTCAGTCTTGGCTGGAACCTGTCGGAGAAGCCTCAACCCTGCTATGCACTGTGCCCAGCAAGCGTTTAGGGTAAGACAATTACTTTGCAAGTCCTTCACACTCCTGTCTCCTCCTAGCACCAAACACAGCAGGTATCTTCGTGTCTCAGCCCCCAAAACCAAACCCCAGCGGAACCATATGCTCATTCCGGTCCAGACTGCCAAAAAACACAGTACTGTTTCTGGCCTAGGTTATATCTTAAAGTCATTTGCCTCAACCACATTTAAAAAGCAAGTGACCTTTCCTCTCCTTGCACCCTGCAAGAATACAGGCAGTAACCTCTGCTGCGACTCCTCCTTCCCACCACCAAGTTACAACACGCCGTTTCAACACAGCGTCGAGGGAGTCCGAAGCAGCGACGTGGAGCAACCTGTGTAGCATCAGAGGCCTGGAGCCCCCAGCGCGTCGGAAGAGGGTCATCTGTCACCACCCCGTGCTGCAGGCAGCACAGCCCGCCCAGCGCTGCCATCGAGACTGAGGCCAGCCTGGACACCCAGACCTTCAGCTAGGTCGGCTATTCGTTCCATCAGAACTCCAGAAGAGCAAAATCTGCACAGGCAAAGGGGGAAGGTGGTGTCAGGGGACTGCGGCTGTTGACCAGGGAATGCCTCCTGAGTCCACCAGCGAGCATTTCCTACCACGGGCAGCAGATGGAGCCGCACGTACGGGACGGGAGGTTGTGCGGCGTCCTGCTGCAGCTCCCCGCGGCTCTCCGGAGCGCAGGCAGAGGTGCGCGACTCCTCTGCCAACACAGGCAACATTTAATTAGCTTTTACCTAACAGAGAAAGAACAAAGCAACAGGTAAAAGATCAAAAGCTGCTGCCTGGAAAGAGGGAGGAATTTGAAGGGAAATTACGGCTTTGATCCTCCGGAACACCTGTCGCTTCAGCACGGGCAGGTGGACGGCGCTGCAGGTCCGCACACGCAGGCTGGGAAAAGGAAACAAAAAACCCCCCAAAAGACAGAAGGTGAAGAATATGGTGTCCCATCAGCACAGAAATTTAGTCTGGTGCATTTGTCTTGCGGAAGAGCTACACATCAGGAACCAGAGACCACTGCAGTGCTGCAAACAAGCAGCCAGACGTACTGGGACTCAAATGATCCTTCCGCTGTCACCACAGGCCAGGGAATTCTGTGTCGCTTTGGGTGCAGCCTTAAAGAAAATCAGATGCAAGTCACTGGACAGTTTCAGGGAGAGTGACAAGAGTGCTCTGGGGCACGGGAAGAGATTTAAGGGAAGATTAAAGAAAGGGAGATGTATCAAAAGTCTTCACACACCAGAACTGGCACTGCCAAAAAAAGGAAGAGCTGTCTCTGGAGGACAGGAGAAGTAGTAAGCCAGTTAAACCATGGCAAGGAATATCTGGTTTAGCCATTCTGGTAGCAGGGACAAGGGTGTCCCAGAACAGGGCAACCGGAGGAGGCCATTTCCATTGCTGGGGGGTTTCAAAGACAGGCCCCCAGCTCGGACCGGATGGTGGGCTGGACCTCTGAAGTTCATCTAGTCCACTTGTACAACCCCAAAAGCCTCTGAAACACAGCATGTCAATGTGCCTCTCCTTCCTAAAAGGCAGTTCATGCAACACAGACCAGATCTGTGGGTTTGCTCTGCTCTCAGCCCTCCTCTGGGCAGGACAAGGGCTGCACGCACAGTCCATGGCGCCGGGGTCATGAGGAGAGGCAGGTATTGCTGCTGCCTCTTGTGGGAGCTTGGGAAGGCAGGCAGGAACTGTCCTACAGCTAAGTCACCATTAAATCAGCACAATTCAAAAAAAACCCCTATTTTTCATATTAATTTTTTATTTATCCCTTGATCTGAAGGGATTATTTTCAATGTGGCAGAGACAACCCAGCTCTCCAGAAGCTGAAGCACTGAATTAGCTGATAAGCTCTTGCTGAGTGCCAATATTTATTAAGCACACATACATTTTCTTCTCCCACACATCAACTGTCACCACTAAAAATCTCTGCTACAGCTACCGAGTCTGTTCGCACAGCCCCTGGCTGCTCTCCCAGTCAGTGCCAGCACTTCTCAGCTACACGCGATCTCAGCAACGTGCTGAGGAGCCAACTCCTGAAATCACCCCAGGAGCCTCTTCACAAGAGCCTGACCAGTTCCAGCCAGCAGCATCTGAAATAGCACCGGCTGCTCGCCTGCCTCGGAGCTGCCCTTCCCCTTCTCACAAACCCATCAACAACAAAATCCTGTTTGGCTTGGCAGATCGCGCCCTCACCTTGGCAGACGCTGCTGGACCAAATGTTGCTGCCTCCGGTTGCGCAGGGTTCCCGCGGCCTGGCGCAGGAGGGCAACGCGGGGCTCCCGCCCGGGCTGTTGCAGCTCCAGCCCCTCGCTGCCGTCTCCGGAGCAGTTTGTGGGCACACAAGGCAAAAGGCCTCTCTCACGCTTAAGTTTAGCCCATAGAGGCACAGGACAGCCTGCGCGCTGGGGCTGGCTGCAGCTGACAAGTCCCGCTGCTGAGCGCTGTGTGCCTGGCAGCGGGTCCGGAGGCTCCGAGGGCAGATTTGCTGTGCAGGAGTTTAATAGCTTTACAAGGAAAATAAGCTGAACTACAGGGCTCTTGAAGTGAAACGTGAGACCTACAGCGTGTCTGGGCACTGAGGAGAAACACGAGCTGTCAAACATCGGCACCAAATTTAAGCATGAAACGCCTTAAGAGAAAAGCAACAAGCTTTTTCTTCCTTTTTTTTTTTCCTCTTAATAACTCACATTTGATTTTACATATTTAAGGAGTAGAGAGTCACTGCACTGTGGAGGTCTCGAAGACCACAGCAGTCGCTGCCTCCTCCTCCCCTTGGGAAAAGCAAATGTGGGTTTGCAGCTCTGGTAGCTCAAGCACAGGTTAGAGAGAGCTGGAAGGGAGAGCGGCTGGAGCAGAGTGCAGGAACCAGAGTCAGGACTCGCAGCTTCTTTCCGGTCCTCTGACTGGATTTTCTGTGCAACCCTCAGCTAGTCACTCACTTGATCTATACTTCTCTGTGTATACGTGAGAGCCCTTGTAATGACCTTCCCTTTGTATCATAATACCTCTACATTAGGGGGGGAAAAAAAAAAAAAAAAAAAAAAAGCAGCTTTCAAAACTACTAGCTATTAGCTGAAGCTATTTAAGATGACCTAGCCAAATCAAGGAAAAAAGTTTACCATAGGGAGCCATTCTGAAGTCATCCCATTTCATGGGGAGAATTATGTAGGTCACCAAAAAGTCTTTCATTCCTGACCTGCTGGTGCAGCAGTGGCACGCAGAGCACAGAGTAAAGGAAAAGTAACAGCAGTCACCAGCGAAGGCTGAAATCCTGACACTCGCACAACTCCAATTCCAGTCACTTCAGTGGAACAGATTTCGCTCAGATGCATCTCAGCTGAGAAGGTAAAAAAGGGACAGCAGCCTAAATCCTGCGAGTTTGTGACTCAGAGATAAAAAGGGAAATGCAATGCTATCATGGGAGCCTGCCGCCTGCTCCCAGCCACACCTGCTCAGGCATAAAAAAGCAAACAGAAGCTTACCGCCCCTCCAGCACTGAAGTCAAACCACAACACACGCTTTAGCGCTCAGAATTCATTTGTGCCGTATGTCCCTCCGGCCCAAGACTAAACACCATTCCACATGACGGAACCGCAGTAGGTAACACTCCTACGGCTTTTTATGGCCAGTGCCCCGTAGCCGTGGCCTGGTACCGGCCGCAGTACTCCATCCCTAACTATCAGCAGCTGAAAAATCCCAGGAGCTGCCTTCCCAGCTGAATTAACGGACCAATTGCAAAGTCTTTTCTTAACGTGACGGACACCAGAGCACCCGTCTCTGCTGCTGATGCTTTGAAACAGTCTCCTTTCCACCCAGGCGCGGGCAGGACCGTGCCCCTTCTTGCCAGCAGGACAGAGAAAGCGACGCTCTGCCCCGTCCCCGCTCTCCAGCTTTACACCAACCACACAGCGAGACGCAGAGGAGAAACCCGCGTGTTCAGCAACCCCAACGCAGGGGCTGAGCAGCAGCTTCCAGACTTCTCTGCTCTCAGCCAAGTTATCACCAGGACGGGAACGAGCTCCTCTAAGGCTACAAACCCTCAAAAGAAGCTGCAACCCCCAGATCTTTACCCTGAGCTATCCCGGTCTGAACATTTTTACTATTTTTTCTTAAAGGATCTTTCATTTTTTATTACTCCCTGTTCAGAGGGGCAACTACGAACGTAACACCTTCGCAAGACACGCTACCAGTCCGAGAACCGCAAAGACGGGCAGGGCTCAGAGAGGAGGAAGCAGAGTTGTTTTACCGAGTGTCAGCAGCACAGCGAGCAATCTATCAACACGTAATCCCTGCCCCGGAGCGCCTGAAGGCCAAACAGCAAATAATTGCCAGGGATGGCGACCATCCATCTTCCCGTCCCCGCCGGCGGCTGGGCTCGGCAAAGGAAGCGGCAGCTCCTGGGGTACCCCGAGGGCAGGCCCCCTCCCCCAGGGGGCGGAAATCACCAAAAAGCCCCAAGATGTGCGGAGCACTCCGAAGGAGCAGCAGATAAAGTTGAGGAAGTATTTCGCGTTGTGCCAGCCCCCAGCCCGCCGACCGCCCCGGGGGCTCCGCAGGAG